AATAAAGATAGTTTTTTCGCCTGCTGCCTATGTTCTCATTGTCTACACCTGTTCATTGTATATATATAAAATGATATAAGAAAGAATGAATTGTATTTATATTTCAAGAGATGTGTCTAATTTGTTTCCTATTACTCCAAATATGGACATTTCTTTACGTTTGCCTAGTATCGCTTCTTGATGTTTAGTTTTCTAATTTTTAGTCTATAACACAACTCTTCTCGCTTCTTGATGTTTAGGTTTCTAATTTTTAATCTATAACACAAACTCTTCTCGCTTCTTGATGTTTAGGTTTCTAATTTTTCAAGAAGCGAGAAGAGTTGTGTTATAGCTTAAAAATTACAAAACTAAACATCAAGAAGCGAGAAGAGTTGTGTTATAGATTAAAAATTAGAAACCTAAACATCAAGAAGCGAGAAGAGTTGTGTTCTAGACTAAAAATTAGAAAACTAAACATCAAGAAGCGAGAAGAGTTGTGTTATAGATTAAAAATTAGAAAACTAAACTTCAAGAATGGAGAGGAGTTGTGTTATAGACTAAAAATTAGAAACCTAAACATCAAGAAGTGAGAAGAGTTGTGTTATAGATTAAAAATTAGAAAACTAAACATCAAGAAGCGAGAAGAGTTTGTGTTATAGATTTAGACTAAAAATTAGAAAACTAAACATCAAGAAGCGAGAAGAGTTGTGTTATAGACTAAAAATTAGAAAACTAAACATCAAGAAGCGAGAAGAGTTGTGTTATAGACTAAAAATTAGAAACCTAAACATCAAGAAGCGAGAAGAGTTGTGTTATAGACTAAAAAATAGAAAACAAAACATTAACACAACTCTTCTCGCTTCTTGATGTTTATTTTTCTAATTTTTAGTCTATAAAACAGCTCTCGAGATACTAGTGTGTGTTTGTGGTAAATATTTATTTGAGTAGAATTGCCTGAAAAGAATTCGAACGTTTTCCCTTGTAATATATGTATTATACACTCGGGATTAATCACACTTTATAACAGCGATGCTCTAGGTTCTGTGCTGTCCTTTTATCTACTTCCACCGTTGATCGTACTCATTAAAATGACCATGGTTATACACTATTGACCAACACTGTAATTCCCTTTGTAACAAGCTCCTGCGAAGAATGATGAGGTCACTCTTCGATGTATCGGATTGACAAACTTTCTACACGTCCTCCACTAAACCAAGACATTGATTTCCAATTACAGAAGTCTACCGGGGCTGCTGGAGTTGCAATAGGAGACTTAACAGACATGGGGTCGTATAGAGTTGCTTTGGTTCTAGAACTTTCAATCAGCTTTCTCAAAAAAAAAAAAACTATTGATTTCGAGATATGACTGGTTCTAGAACTTTTAGTCAGCTTTCTCAAGAAAAAACAACACTGATTTCGAGATATGGCAGGAAACTATTGAGCCTTCGTGTGAATTAATACAAAAAAATCTGCCCAGTTTCAAGGCAATGGTTTTTGTGTCAGAAAATTATTTTCCATGACCGCAGCCTTCAGTTTGCAGATGAGGACACTGCTGCAGAATGACTTATTGTGTGGTTTCAGAGCCTGTTGCTATCTTAAGCACTCAACTCTGTGAACTTTTCTGCTTCAACAGTAAAATATGAAGGCTCTATTTCTCGGAATATTGTATCTTTTGGCTCTGTATCGTTTACTCATCCTACTATACGAATATCCTTCCTCTGAAAAGGCTGTGCATGACATAATCTATAAATCTATTCGTGACGGCATTACGCTATCAATGGTAGCTAAATATGTAGATGTTAAACATATCACGCAGGGGTGGGGAGTGGGGTATTATTTACCACAAATGTTATTAAATATGTTATTTGGTGTATTTTGATAAATGTTTCACCCGTATAGCAACCCTGAGAACTGATGGTTAGGGCGCTTGAGTTGCAATATGAGAGTTGCAGGTTCAAATACCGTCAACAAACGTGCTCCCTCTTTAAGCTGTAGAGATGTTATAATTATAATTTGATTGTGAATTCCACTATTCGTTAGTAATAAAGAGTAGCCCTAGATTTGGCAGTAGGCTGCGTTGACTAGCTGTCTTCCCTCTAGTCTATCACTTCTAAATCAGGGACGACTACAGCAGATAACCCTTGAGCAGTTTTGCGTGAAATTCAGTAAATAAAGCAATCATGATGTTGTATAAATGCTATAAAAATTGATGAATATTCAAAAATCATATTATTTTAACATTTAAATGCTATAAACGATGATCAAAATTTCTGCTTAAGTTGTTCAAAGTAGCACTGCTGTTCAAAGAATCCCCGGCTGACGGTATATATAATTCTATAATTATGACACAAGAGTTTGAACTTAACTTCGTTACAGAATAGTGTACGTTAACATGGTGGGTGATGTTTTATATTTAAAAAAACTACGTCAATTTTATATCATTAAGATGTGAGTTTAATCAAGACTGTTACAAAGTAATAAAATTGAGAAAACATTTATATTTTATTGTGTTTTCTTTTTGCCATTGTAAAACACGATTCTAGCATGATAATGCATAACAGGATAAGACAATAATATAACGTAAAAACATACTAATAATACAATAAACAAGGCATGGCCATAATGTAATAGATAAGACACATCAATAACATAATAAACAAGACATGCTAATAATAAAATAAACAATATATACTAACAATATGATAAACAAGCCATACTAATAATATAATAAACATGGCGCCCCAATAATATAATAAACAAAACACACCAATAATATAATAATCAAGACACACCAACAATATAATAAGCAATACATACCGATTATGTAATAAACAAGGCATACCTATAATATACTAAACAAGACAAACCACTAATATAATAAACAATACATACTAATAACCTAATAAACATGGTACACCAGTAATCTAATAAGCATGTCACACCAATATTCTAATAAACAAGACATATCAATAATCTAATAATCATGGCACATAATCATGACAATAATATAATAAACAATATATGACAATAATATAATAAAAAGCTACTCCAATAATCTAATAAAGAAGCTATACCAATAAACTAATAAACAAGACTTATAGTATAATAAAAAAGCACGTTAATCTAATAAACGAAACCTGACATTAATATAACAAACAGGGTACACCAATGATCTGATAGAAAAGGCACAGCAGTAATCTAGTAAACAAGATATAACAATAATATAATGAAGAAGCTATATCAATAATCTAATCTAATAAAGCGCAGCAGTTATCTAATAAACAAGATGTGCCAATAATTTTATCGCCTTGAATGTCATACAAAAATACTTATTAAAATAATTTTACTTCCTTGAAAGCTGTTGTTTGTAAAGTAGCACTAAATACTGAATATTTAACTATTTTCTTATAAGTTTCTCAGGCTAGCGAAAATATTATTAGCCAACACTGGAAATTCGTTATTTGTCTGATCTTGTAGCTGGATGTGGTGAAGGCATTAAATATTGTTGCATGGTATAGGAGCGACAGACGTTCTAAAAAAGGTTACTATATATATATATAGGAATATAATATAACGTAACTAATAGATGAATAAATAACATTAGAAATTCTATAAGGAATTACTATAAACTAAATTTTGGTTTCAATGCTAGCCACCAGGAATATTTAATTATTTAAAAAATAGGATGAGACACATTTTTATCAGTTCATGTATCATTTCAGAAATTCTAGTAGCTTGTAAACAATGTTTCTGAAGCATCTACTGGATAGAGCTTTAAAATCATAAGAATTTTATCAAAAAATGAAAAGTAAGCAAAAAATAGACTACTGATAAAATACCCATTTTAATCTAAAGACGCTTCCCAGTGACTCATTGGTAAGTCTTCAGACTTACGACACTTAAAATCTGGTTTCGATACCCATGGTAGGCAGAGCACTAACATCCCATTGTGTCGTTTTGTGCTGAACAACAACCAGCCAAACAAATTAACCTAAATATAACAAGAGAGAATCCTCAATAGCCGCGGCTGTAATCAGATCTCAAATCTGTCAAAAGAAGGAGCTATGAGCTAAAGTTTGTACTTGAAAAAGAAAACAAACTCAGAGCCATTTTATGAACCACTGTGCCGCGGCTTAAAAACTGAAAAGCGCAGTAGCAGATCTGCAAGTAAACATAAGTGTTAAAAAATTACAAACATAGTTAAAAAGTTCAGTTGCTGACAGGATTTTTTAACTGCTTTGAATGTAGTTACTAATGTTTAGATGATGACAAATTTAGTATTTGTAGTCTGTATTAATGGTACCAGTACTAAGGCTATCCCCCACCGTCCCTAATTTGGAACCACCGCCCACGTTGCACGATAAGAGAACGACTATTTCTCTTATAAAACACCCTCAGCTTAACTACCAGAAATATTTGATGGTATCACACGAGTTCGAAATCCGCAGCTCTATCACAGGGTCAAACCGCTCGCGATAGGTTAAGAAGGCACAAGGCTATTTACGGAATTAAATTTTTGTATTTATATTGTTTCTCTAAACTACTCATCTTACTATGAAACCTGAAAGTGTTTTTCTCTGATTATTGCATGAGGATAAAACATAGATGTGATCCGGAATGTTTGCGCTCTGTCCACCGCGAGAAAAATCGAAACCCGAAGTTTAGTGTTGGAAACCATATAGTTACCGATGAACCACCGGGAACTTTTTGTATGATTCATTTTATATGAATATAATTCTATTTATTTTGTGTCATTATTTTATCAGAGAAGATATCCATGTTAGTTCAGCGACAAATGGGTTGAAGAATATGATTAATAATTCATAAATAATCTTTTAAAATACTTTATAAGGCACAAATATAACACTGTATTACTGATTTACTGTTCACGCAATAACAAATACTAAATAACATTTACTCAAGAAAAACATTTAATATTGATTATTATGCGCAAAATGCAACACTTATTATAATACAGACCACGATACTTTATTTAGTCTGTGTTGTTGGTTTTTGTTTCTTTAGCTCCGACTATCATTAGCTGTTCGTGTCAACATTATTACTTCCCTGGTGGTGAGAAACGGAACTCTTTCTCCTTGTTGGCCTCCTATTGTAAGGGAAGAATCTTCAAGGTTCACAATAGCCTAACAGAAAGTAAAGAATAATATGTGTATATCATTTTGGGTTAAAACTTTAATAATAATTTTGCAAAGCATTAATAAGATTAGAGTAGGCGTAAAACACACAATAGTTAATTCCAAGTACGTTAAGACTAAGTATGTTTGGAATAAACATTAAGCCATTTTAAACTGTGATGCTCTACCACAAATCAGAATATACTGCACATCTGACTTTGTTCGCGCACATAAATGATAATGTCAACTTTCAGAAAGAAAAATCTTAATATGACAAGCAGATAAAAAGTAATGGTCAGTGTCTATA